TCATGTACTGAGAACAGAAAACTTTTTTTTTTCTTTATCTGGGAACATGATAGAAGATGAGGACTTTTAGGGAAAGAACAAATTAGCAAAAGATCTTGAAGTTACAGTTGCAAAGTTTGCAGAAGTGATCGAGACAGAAATGTTTTTCTATCTTGTTAGTAGATCTATATTTCTCAGACTTTCTAAACCATTTCTCTCTATGAATATTGGAAAATTTTCCTGACTTAAGTTCTGACTAAATGACTGTTTACACAGCTAGCTTCCTAATTATGGTACAGTGTTAGGCATCCCACAATCTCATCTATCAGAAATCGATACTACGCAGTCAGTATGGCAAACAAATTTTTATACTAAGGAGCCTCATATGTAAAAGTGTTAGGTATTTGCATATTGGAAAATAAATTATTATGGCTTTTGAGAATATGCTAGACTAGGTACCCTGGCTGACCTTCTTGTTAAAAATGATTTAAAATGTAGAATAAAGTATATTTTGAAATTGTTTGAATGCATTGATGTACTGCAAAGTTAGTAAGGAATACTCATGGATGAGAAATGAAGTGAAGGCAGGAACCCGGAGGGGTAAACAGAAGGCTGAAATCAACATTCACCTTGAGGATATCTGAAGCTTCAGTTTTTATGTCTTTGAGAGTGGAGCGGACAGATAACAAAGCTCGGGCCTGCCCAAGTGGGGGAACATAATAGGAAGCAAAATTCAGGTATATTCTGTTTATAAAAGACTCAACAGAAACTAAAGGATATAGAAAAATTCAAAGTAATAAAATACAAAAAGTTTTATCAAGCAGATACCAATCAAAAGAAACTAGTGGCATAACTATGTAAACATCTAGTATTACTAGATATAAGAGGTTAACATTTGGTACTGACAAGTACAGAATACTATTATAGCAGTAAGAAGAAAGTGAATTAACATCCCCTTTCAAAAAAATAGCCTGGCACTATCTAATATAAATATTAGATTATCAGCCACAAAAACCCATGTCTTTTGTAATCTTTTTCATCTTTCTTCCTTACAATTCAAAAAGACATGATGTTGATGAGATTAAGGTTTCAGGAAGCAAACGATATGATACATGATTGATTTGAAGTTTATGATAATTTTTTATTTTATATTTGTTAATCCTCACCCGAGGATATTTTCCCATTGATTTTTAGAGAGAATGAAAGGGAAGGGAAGAGACAGAGAGAAACATTGATGTGAGACACATTGCTTGCCTCCCGCATGGCCTGTAACCAAGGTACATGCCCTTGACTGGAATCAAACTCGGGACCCTTCAGTCCAAGGGCTGACACTCTATCCACTGAGCCAAACTGGGGGTTAACGTTTATAAATGTAAAGGTGACACATAGTAAATGGAAGAAAGAAGGTCAATAATGAATATAAGTAAAGGAGGGCTGCAGAGTTAAAACGTGGCCATTTAAACAACCTGTGTTTGGTAGATATTAATGTTCAAGTGGAAAACTAGCTCCTATGACTATTTGGAGGTTCCCCTTGTAGTTTGGGATAAACCCCTCCCTAACTCCAAAAACAAAACAAAGCAACAAAAACCCATCCCCCCACCCCCACCCCAGGAATTTCCCTCAGAAAATCAAGACCTCTTGTAGTCGTAGTTCCTGGCCAGACTTGCTTCTCTGGAACCCCAAATAGACCCAATGACACAGCAAGGAATGAAATGCAGAAGTGTGCACGAGACGGGCAAATTCCTGCCATGGTGGTGAGTTGGACTCTTGAGGACTGAAGTGCCTACTTCCCCCACATAAAACCTGAAAGGGAACAAGCTATTGGTTCTGGGACCCCTGATTTGGAAGGTTTCTCATTCTGAGAAGATTGCAGAGATCACAGAATTCTCCCAGGGGGCTCTGTGGGGAATCAGGGAGGCACAGAGAAGCTGTGTTTGCTCACTCCACCAACTATTCATCATGTTATAACTTTTCCACAACTTGTTTGTTCATTTGGGGGAAAACTAACTGTAGCCAAGTCTTATTTGGTATTGGGGGTCTGGCATGCACCATAAAGCTTTTGAAATACCACACTAGTAAGAACAATACATTAAAAAAAAAACTATTTGTTAAAACATTATTGATACATTAATTCTCATGTTTATTCTCATTAAATAATAAAATTGCTTCTTTCTGTACTCAATTCTTAAGAATCTGAAAAATTATAAATGTACTTAAATAAAAAACTAAAAGAAAGTTAAAAAAATACATGGAAAATTATAATAAACTAGGGGCCCAGTGCACAAATTTGTGCACCTTGAAAGGAACTGTGGGCCATGAGGCTGCAGTAGGCACAGCAGCAGGTCTGGGCCCATCCTCTGCGCCCCTGCCCAGCTCCTCCTGCTGCAGCCCCACCCCTTCCTAGTCGCCTGTCTGCCGGCAGACCCGCTCCTGCTGCCACCGCTCCCATGCTCTGATGGCACTGGCCCTGCTCGCACCTGCTGGAGGCATGAAGCAATTGGAGCCGGCGCCAGCAGTGGGTGCGAGTGGGGCCAGGACTGTTAGCGGGTGCAAGTGGCAGCTGCTGCTCCGATCACCCCGCTTGCAACCACTGATGTTGCCAAGAGATTGGGACCGGCGCCGGGCACTGGCAGCAGGTGCAAGTGGTGGCTCTGGTGCCAGCTGCAGGTGCGAGCAGGGCACCAGCATCAGGTGCAAGCACCAGGCAGGACCGTGGCCCATGGGAGCAAAGAATTTAATCAGCAGAGGCTTACACCGATGACAGCGACCAGTGCCCCGCCTTGGTCTGGTGCCCCCATTCACCTGCTACACCATCCCGCAATGGCCAATGCCTGCCATGTTCCACACATGCCCCCTGGTGGTCAGCCCACATCATAGCAACCAGTTGTTAGATTGTTCAGTTGTTCCACTGTTCAGTCTATTTGCATATTAGCCTTTTATTATATAGACTAGAGGCCCGGTGCACAAAAATTTGTGCACTCGGGGGGAACAGTCTGGGACCCCTCAGGAGATAACGACCTGCTGGCTTAGGCCTGCTTCCGGGTAGCAGGCCCAATCCCTAGGTGCAGCCCCTGGTCGGGCTCAGAGCAGGGCCGATCGGGAAGTTGCGATGCCACCCCCAGTCATGCTCAAGGTAGGGCCGATTGGGGGGTTGGGGCACCGCCCCCTATCACACTCAAGGCAGAGTCGATGGGGAGGTTGCAGCGCCACCCCATCACCCACAGAGCAGGGCCAATCAGGGGGTTGGGGCACTGCCCCCTGTCACTCACAGAGCAGGGCCAATCTGGGGGTTGGGGCACTGCCCCCTGTCGCACACAGAGCGGGGCCCATGAGGGGGTTGGGGCGCCACCACTCTCACACTCAGGGCAGGGCCCTCGGCCTGGCCTGCAGGGAATGGGCCAAATCCATGCACCAGGCATCCAACATCCCCCGAGGGGTCCCAGATTGTGAGAGGATGCAGGCCAGGCCAAGGAACCCGTGCACTGGGCCTCTAGTCCTACGTAATAAAAGCCTAATACGCTGTGTCTGACCATTCATTTGACCATTTGACCAGTTGCTATGACATGCACTGACCACCATGGGGCAGACACTCTGACTGGTAGGTGAGCTTGCTGCTGGGGTCTGGTCGATCAGGACTGAGCCAGATGGGCCAGACATGCCCTGGAACCCTCCTGCGGTACCCCTGGCCCTGATCATGCACTGGTGGGGTCCCTCGGCCTGGCCTGTGTCCTCTCGCAATCCAGGACCACTCAGGGATGTTGGAGAGCTGGTTTCAGCCTGATCCCCACAGGCCAGGCCAAGGGACCCCACCGGTAAATGATTAGGGCCAGGGAGGGACCCCGGCCTCTCTTGCCCAGTCCGGATCTGCTGGACCCCAGTAGCAAGCTAACCTACCAGTCAGAGCATCTGCCCCCTGGTGGTCAAATGCCAGATACTTTTCAGCTACAAGCTACGTTTTGTTTCAATAGCTGGTAATCTATAACCTTGCCTCCATGCTGTGACCTGCGGTTCACAGGAAATTCTTTTCATGAAATACTTAATGAAAATGCCCTTGGGTGGGCGCTGCTGAAAGCAGGTTTCTGTATTTGAAACTTGGTTGTGACTCCAGCTCTGAGATCCTGGCTGGCTGCAAGCAGGGTTCTGGGGTTTTGTTTAGCTTCTATATTTGTTACATAGTTGCTTAGAGTTGCAGCTCAGAGGCCTGCAGCAGCAGGTGGGGAACGTTGCCGTCCTCCGTCACTGAAGCAAGCAAGCCTCATATTAGTTTCAAGCTGCCTGGCTGCCGACCGCCATCTTGGCTGGCAGTTAATTTGCATATTGCCCTGATTAGCCAATGGGAAGGGTAGCGGTCGTACGCTAATTACCATGTTTCTCTTTTATTAGATAGGATAAAATATTGTACAAAAGAAGGAACTTTAATTATTTATGGAAATGTTGATGGCACAGTTCTACCAAAACTCATATACATTTCACTACTTCATTTATATATTGTCGCAGTGGAAAAAAAAATTTGTCTTTACTCTTTCAGTTTCCTTAAGCAAAAGTCTGTATAATTCCAGAGGGATATCACCAAGATGTTTTACAGATTGTGGTGGAACCTTGAACCTTGGTGGAACTCTGACTTGAACTTTGCCAATTTCATGCAGATGTAATGTGCATCTGATGTGCTCTTTGCTCAGGTCAAATCTATTGTCAAGATGCTTCAAAGATTCTAAGAAATTATTTGAAAACAATCTTAACAAAATGTGTATTGGGTCATGCCCACGGTCCATCCAAACTGTATTCTGTCTCTGACTGAGAAAGGTTATAGACTTTATGATATTACTCCAAAAGGGGTTGGATAATACCCCCAACTGACCCCAGCCCCATTACCCCAGCTTCCTTTAATAACCCAGACAAATTAATCATTGGTGTATTTATTCACAACTTTTTATTACTTATTTATACCTCAAATTGATTCATATGTGGGATCATTAAATTTATTAAATGTACTGCCTGGATGTAGAGGGGTGTTTTCTTTATTCCAAATATCTTATTCAAACAATTAAGAGAAGCATTTAGAAAAGCATTTCAGAGATCAAGAGGTTCCCTTAAAACATGAAGAAATACCAAAATTGGGTTACAAAAATATGATGCATTTAAATATTTACATTAAACCACTATTTAACCCAAATATATACAATATAATCTAATTCTGCAACTTTCAAAAGATTTATAAAAAATGCAACAGTGTATGGATTAAAGTGGTGTGGTATAGTCTTTCTCTCCTGTATCTCTGTGACTATAGATTTTACTTCCTTTGGAGAAGACCTCCAAAGGTTATCCTGAGGCTCTTTGTGAATATGAGGCTCAAGCCAAGAGGCCCTCCTGGCCTCCTGGATAAACTCTGACATCTCGTTTCTAATAATCTGAGATTTGGTGACAGAGACTCTGTTATCCTGATGTTTCCTTTATATTTGATTCAGATTTCCCATAAATGGTAATAATTAAACTACTCAGGCTAAGTTCAAGAACAGGGAGAGTGGGAGATACCAGGATGCAAACGAAAGATTTACTTCATGGATCGGCTGTTTTCCTGGAAGTAAACTGTTGGGTAAACTCCAGGATACCAGGCAAGCTTAAAAAGCAGCAAAGCAGCAAAAGCGGGGCACAATGTGAGGCAATGTAGGTAGTTTGTGTTGCAGCTAAACTATTACAGGTATATCTATATGTCTATATCTGTATCTCCCCATATCTTCATTATTCAGAAAGTTTACTTTTAAAAAGGCTACTGAACCGGCCTTACCCTACCTTTAATGTCATTCACTGGTCCACAAGGGACCATAGCTTAGAACATGCTGGCTGATTTCTTGAGGCTTCGTAGACAAAATATCTGGAACTCTGACTTGAGCTTTGCCAATTTCACGCAGATGTAATGTGCATCTGATGTGCTCTTTGTACTGACCATTTAAGTCCTAGCCAGTAGCCACGTCCTTAGAGTGGGAAGATTTTTCTCCAGCCACTTAATATTTTTGGATATGGTTTCCAGAACAGTTTGAAAAATATCCAGATGTAATCCTTGAGCTTTAAGAGAGTCAAAGAACAGTTTCACCTGAAAAAATAAGCAAGAAAAGAATTACATGGTTAAAAAACACTTTCTCTTCCAAAGGGTTTCAAACAGCTTGCGAATCATACAGACACAGGCGCAAGCATTCCTTCGCCAATCTCTAAAAGGTTCTTTTCTTCTTCTCTTCTTCTTTCTTTTTCTTTTCTTTTTTTTTTTGTTGCATAGTTAGTACTTCACTTTATCTTCAAACAATAAATAAAGACAGGAATGATAAACCTTCATCTTACAAGGGAGCACACTGTGAGTAAAAAGCTGTGATTAAGCCAAGTCATTGAGTTTGTAGTGAGCTGGATTAAGTTCTAGAATTCTGAGTTTGCTTAATGTGTAAAAAAAATTCAGGATTTATTGTGGAAAGAAAATGTAAAACACCAGAATGCTTTTTAAAAAAAAGACAAGTAGAATGACCAACAATAGGAGTTGTTAAAAACCTTTAAGAACTCTTTCAAACTTCAATATAATCATTCATGATGATATAATAATGAACAAAATAACACAAAAGGACTCATCTCTCAAGAGTAATTTTCATTTTGAATGCTATGCATTTTAAAAGGTTCTAGGTTCTAGTCCTTTGCCTTCCATTTACTTGCTACATGACATGGGAAAAATAAATTATTTTCTTTTAATAAAATGAGAACTTCAAATAAGATTGTACCTGTTTACTTTCAATTCCACCACTTGAACATTTATTTTTAAACTAGAGGCCTGGTGCACAGATTCGTGCACCAGTGGGGTCCCTTGGCCTGGCCTGTGGGGATCAGGCCAAAACTGGCTCTCTGACATCCCCCGAGGGGTCCTGGATTGCGAGAGGGTGCAGGTCAAGCTGAGGGACCCCACCGGTGCACGATCGGGGCCGGGGAGGGATGCCGGGCAGCCTGGCGGGGGGGAGGGCTCCAGAGCGTGTCCGGCCTGTCTTGGTAGCAATAGTCACAAACCTCTTGTAACTCATCCTTGGAAGAAAAGTGAGATGTTGTGCCAGAGATGATTATTCTCACATCAAATGAGCCCAAGCCAAATCTGAAAATAAAAGGGAATTTAAGTAATAGAAATATTGGCCTTATGTTTATTATATCATAAACTTTTTAAATGTATAACATTAATAGCTATATGATAAGCTTGTATACTTACAATAGGCAGTATTAATTACCATAAGAATAACTGATATCCACCCAGTAAAATCCCCAAGGTATGAAATTTATCAAATTTGACCATAAAATTAAAACATAGATAAAGCTGTCTTGGACAGCGTAGCTCAGTTGGTTGGAGTGCCATCTGCATACCGAAAGGTCTCGGGTTCAATTGCTGGTTGGGGTATATACCCAGGTTGCCGATTCCCCATCACATCAATGTTTCTCTGTCTCTCTCCCTCCCTCACCCTTTCTCTCTCTCAAAAATCAATAAAAATTTGTTTTAATGTAGATAAAGCTATTTTAGGAAATATGACTATCATATTCAGCAATGTTTATATTTAAATTTATGTTTAAAGCAGCATTCTCTACATTTTTTTGGGGGGGCTATGCACCCATCAGTAAAGGTTCTTGGACCAATAACTTCCCAAATTACATTTTATATATGAGTTAGAGGCACCAAAGGCCAAAAAACTAAAATTTAAATGGCATAATAAATAATATATGTGGTAATTTTCTTCTTGCACTCCAATGTATTATCTTACTTCCTTCCCCAGCCCATTTTGGATACCACTGTGCTTAAACATGGTATTTATTAGGGCAATGTTACTTGGTTGAGCTCTCATTTGCAGCCACAGACTGCATCCTTCAGCTGGTGTCATACAGAGAATTCATACCACAGGTCGAAGGGATTCATGCTGGAAAGCAGAGCCCAGATACATCTAAGAAATGGTTCCAAGTCTAGGCTCTGCACATGGCCAGGCAGGAGGATAATTTCCAGTTACAAAGGAAATCTACAGCTTTGCAGAACAAGTCTGATCATTTCAGGAGGGAACTGACAGTCATGCAGACAATCCAACCAATGGTTCCAGTAGTGTTTTTACGGAAATACTTTTTTCCCCCCAGCATTTTCTAACTGTTTGGTTTCAGGTGGATGTCAACCCCTCCCTTGAAGGTCTGGGAGAAGGGTGTAAAAAGGGCTTTTTGCTTACGCATAGCTGTGAGGACTCTGAGTCTTTTATGGCTAAGAAATGACAGATAAGAGGAACTGGGGGTAACTGACATCAGAGACGCTAACTGACACTGTTTATCTTAAAACAGAAAATTCCACAGCTCTTTCACACAGAGTATTCTCCACACAGTATTTCATAAGTGACATTTTGGATGTGGATGAGGAAATGGCTGAGCACCTTAGCAGGGGGATTGTTGTGAGAGAAAGCAATGCCATTCTGTACATTCCAATGAAATGTAATTATTACTGTGTGTCCCTCTACCCCCCCCCCACTACCCCTGGGAATATGTCAGGCCCAGGAGCATACTGGAGTGAGCTCTGGTTCTCCCAAAAATTGAAGCCCCAGAATAGACACAGAACCAATCCAAAACACTTCTAATCAGATTTCTTTCAGCCACTCTACATTCCCTGCTGTGCCGCCTTTACAGGTGAACTGAGGGTGGGGATTAGCTCTCATCAAAATTCCCCCAGAACAAAAAGCAAGCCAAATATGTTTGATGCACAATATACAGATTCACTGAAGTCCTCTGGGCTGGTGCTACAGCCAGGAGTTGGGGGGGATGAGGCTGATGACTGGATTTAACTCAACTAGTATTTGCTCCCAGCAATTCTTTGCCTGGGATGAATAAGAGAAATCTGTTTCCCATTCCCTTCTGCTCATTCCTCTCTCTTACACCTGGACAGAGTAATTTGTGCTAGTTAGTTTTAAACCCAATAGACTTCACTGAACCATTTGTGTGAAATGGAATCATTTATACGCTTTGGGGACCCTCGATTACAATTGGTGTTAGGCAACTGAGACAGCTGGGTGAAAGAACACACAATGGAGATAAGCCAATACCAACTTTTTAAGGATATGGGTCCAATTTTCTCTTACAAAATCCCAGGCTAATTTCTGTCCCTTTGGATTTCTAGCAATTGCATGAAGAAGAGATGCCAAGTCTTGTGTCTTGATAATCTTTCCTTCCATTCCTAGTTCAATTAATCTGAAGAAATAAAAACCACATGAATTTTCATGGCATGTGTTATGTAATGATAATTAACTCACACTACCAATATATTAAACGAATAGGAGAGAAAGAAGCATGATAAAAAATAATTGACCAAAAAAATAATAAATTCTCTACTGGCTAACATTTTTAATGTTCTAGTTAAACTTACTTTTTTCTAGCAGCAATTTTATTCACTTATTATTTCAAATAACTTTGATAAGATTGAAGTATCTCATATACAGGAATGTAGTTTTGTAATAATTTTCCTCCAAGGTTCTGTAAGTAAAACTATATCAATCACATGTTTAATAACTACATTTTGCTATCTACATTTTGACAATATGTTTTTTTAAGTCAAAGCAATTCAAATCCTGACTTAATTAACATATGCCTTTGAAATTGGTGGCTAAAATTTTAGTGACTTCACTAAATTTGTATCAGTTTACTTTTAACAACTTAGTTAAAGTAATGCACTTACTTCATTAACTTTTCCTGGTGTTTGCTGGTTGACAATGCATACAGAATTTTGTTTTTTTCAGCACCTGACATTGACAGTTCATATTGCTCCAAAAGGTAATTCCATCCTGGTGTTGTCTGAGCACCCACGGAATACACAATCTTTAAAACATCTGTTGGGATACTGCGATATTAAGCACAAAGGTAAAGAAAAAAGCTTTATGAAAGAAAAATTATTTTTTCTTATTATGATTTAAAATTGCTAAAACAGAATCACCCCTGACTTATTCCCAGTAACTAAAATACTAAACCTTTTTTTCTGCCAAACTTTTATAAAATTATTTTATGTGATTTTACTTTGCAGATTATTTGTGTGTTTTCCCACTGATAATAAAATGTTAGCAGGAAAAATAATCATAAAATTTTAACCTGCACAGAGGAATGAATAAATTAAAGAGGTGATTTCTTTTCTTTTTTTTTTTATATTTTATTGATTTTTTACAGAGAGGAAGGGAGAGGGATAGAGAGTTAGAAACATCGATGAGAGAGAAACATCGACCAGCTGTCTCCTGCATACCCCCTACTGGGGATGTGCCCGCAACCAAGGTACATGCCCTTGACTGGAATCGAACCTGGGACCCTTCAGTCCGCAGGCTGACGCTCTATCCACTGAGCCAAACCAGTCAGGGCAAGAGGTGATTTCTGAAATATAAGAGCACTGGTTTATACTGAATTCTGTCATTAAATAACCTGTATTGGTGCTATATAACTTTTATAAAAATCATTATTTGCTGCTTTGAAGTCACATTAAGAGTGTATTCTAATAGGCCTATCTTGGGGTCATTTTACAATTCTGTAAAAGTGATCAGATGCAATAATATTATTTTCTATTCACCTAAAGAAGACACTACACTTTTGCGGTTTTATTATCCTATGGGATATTAACTAGTTTTAACTTTAATTCATTCTATGATTTTTAATTCCAAAAATAGTTAGATCAATAATATCTGATATTCACAGTGATGGCTTGGAAAAACCACAACACAGAGATGTTGGGATGAGGCTGGGAATTTGCATTTATCACACAGCAACCATATAGTAGGGATTGGGCTAGTCTTTGTACACTTTATATAACTGTCAAAGCTACCCATTGAGATGGTTATCCTAATTTTTAAAAAGTGGAAATAAGCTTAGAAAGGTTAAATAGCTTGCTCAAAGGTGACCTAACTAGCTATTTTGGAGATAGGTTTAAACATGTGATTCTAATGCTTGTGGAATTTCCACTAGACATACTTAAATATCCCAAGTGCCATTTGAATCATAAAACAAAGATTAAGTAATTAAATTCTAATCCACATTGCTATGATTTTAGTGTGCTTGTCTGTATAATTTTATGAAAATTGGTAATGAGTACATTTTAAGTTCCTTGTAAATGGGACGCATAGTAGTTGTGTCCACTACTCTATCCTTAACACCTACAGCAGTGCCTGGCACATAGGTGAAATGCAAAGTATTACATTTTTAATTCATGAATGAATGAATAAATAAATTAATTAATCTATGTAAGGAATTCTTCCTTAGGATTAATATTAATGGTCTTAAAGTTTAGCAAAACAACAACAAAAACAAACCCTACAAAATTTAATTATGTGTTCTTGATTCTAAGCATAAATGAGCTTTACCCAGAATATTTTCACAGGCATAGCATCCTACTCAACATGTGGAGCCCTCATATCTATTGTACCTGGGTTAGTGTGAGTGAGGTCATCCCTCTTATGCCTAGCATAAACACAATAGTATTCTATTATGTTATGGGGCAGCAGGATGCTTACATTTTAGCCTTACTCATAACAACCAATCAAAAAGAAGAGAAAAATAGAGCTAAAGATTTTAGGATTAAATCATAAAGAGCAGAAAAGTCTCAAAAGAAGAAAACTGGAATTGCTTTTTTTTTTTTTTTTTAAGGAATAATTTGCCCAGCCGGCTTGGCTCAGTGGTTGTGTGTTGACCTATGAACCAGGAGGTCAGGGTTTGTCCTGGTCAGGGCATATGCCCAGGTTTCAGCCTCCATCCCCAGTGTGATCAAAGACTTTTACATTAGTGGAAGGGACAACCTGGCTTGGCTGGCATGGCTCAGTGGTTGAGCATTGACCTATGAACCAGGAGATTATGGTTCGATTCCCAGTCAGGGCAATGCCTGGGTTGTGAGCTCCATCCCCAGTGGCGGGGGGTGAGGGGCTTGATTCTCTCTCGTTATTAATGTGTGTCTCTCTCTCTTTCTCCCTCTCCTTTCTTCTCTGAAATCAATAACAAAATATATTTTTTAAGTGGAAGAAACAAAGAATAGGACAGATCTACTTTAATTTCCCACTGGATTCCATCCACTGAGAGAAGAGGTCAGTTGCCTTCTGAACGCAAGGAGCATGGTTCAGGTCACAGGCCAGCTTCAACAGGGTGGAGCGGAGCATACTGTCCCAGACGGAGCCCTCGTCGCTCCAGCTTTGCGTGTCAATCACTGGCTTGAAATACCGGAGAAGGTAATGCTGCAGAAAGCACAGGATGGTTTACAGAGAGGCTAAATTTAGTTCTTAACACAGCTCTGACCCATCTAAAGGCTCAACGCTAAACTATCTGCATGAACCTTTCCCAAAACACAGAACTACTTATATTTCTCTTCTCTTTTTTCCTGGCTCCAACTCACTATGTTTAAAAAACAAACTTTGCTTCTCCATTAAAAATATGATTTAATTTCCTCTTTGAGAGGGAACTATCAGTTGATATGAGATAAAAATCACCTTAGGAGGGATGTTTTGCTCATGATCCTGGTACGACTCTTAGAATGGTGATGACAAGAAAGAAGGGGCATCCACCCATCAGGCACTGTGGTGTTAATCGTGCGATCAGCCAGTGTCTTCTCAAAAATTTAACCCCAAGAGTCCACACAAAACAGACCAAGTCTCACTGATCCTCAAGACACTGTGTATTTACTTAATGAATTTTCCGAACATAATACAAACCTTGAGGTTTTCAGTGACATCTGAGATGTTCCTTCTGTCCATCGTGTGGTAAAACAATTCTAAGTATCCCAGACCTTTGAGGAGTGCAACGCTGCTTGTTTCATGTTGGAGATAGCGGGTCAGGTCGAGAGCTTTATCTAGGGTCAACCTTCCTGCACTGAGAAATAAAACAAATGTTGGTGGTTTGTGTATATCTTTCAGTTCTTAATATTAACCATGATATAGAGAGCCATAACAGAAGTTCATTATAGCCGGTCCATTTGGTTTAAATCCTAGCAGGCCACTCACTAGCTGTGTGATCTTGGAAAAATTACCTAACCTCTCTGGGATTCAATTGCCTTCCTTATACAATGGGGGGAACAACAGTATCTTCTTTTATTGTTGTAAGGATTAAATAAGTTAATATACGGAAAGCACTTAGAATAATGCTTAGCATATAGTAGGAGCATTATAAATGGAATAAATACTAGCTAACATTAATATTTAGTACCAAATAACATCAAAGTGTTCATATGTCATGTCATTCTCTCATTGTTTAATTTGTGGCTTTAACTTGTTCCTCCAAGTGAATTTGGAACTTTGAGGACAGGTGTCAGGACTTTTCTTTTTTTGATGTTCTTCCTAGAGCCTAACAGAGAAGCAGTAATTATTATTGCAAAGCAAGTATTTCCAGCTTATATTATAATCTATTTAGATTCTAAAGTTATATAACTTCTCTACGTTTTCTTTTAATGATAAAAAAACAACAACAGCAAAACTATTATTCTGAATACCAAAGTGGTAGGGTCTCTCCCATGAGGAAATACATCACTGCAATGGCACTTCTGTGAAGTGGTTCTCACCTGTGTTTCTGGGAGGAATTGTGTGCCCACGGGGTCTATACCCCATTCTTGCCAGCATCAGACTCCCAGACTTAGCAAAACAGTTTGAGATGGTAAAAAAGATTTTGGAACAAAGGAAGGCTGTTGAATTTTTCATTAACATAATGCCCTACATCCTTTGGGTTTTAAGATTTTTAAATTCTGATCTAAAAAGAGGGAACTGAAACTAGAAAGAAATGAAATTAAAGAGAACCAACTTCTGTTGTGACTTCACTCTTCTGACATGCTGCTTTAAATAAACTAATGGAAAGTTTCCCCAAATTTTTGTCTGAAAACAGAGGGCTGGACTATATAGTCTACTGTATTTTATAAAACACAAATGCACATAATGTCATTATTCTTTTTAACATGTATAAGCATCATCATATAGAGTGCAGTTCATACCCTTGAGCATCAGCAATAGAAAGAAACTGGCTGTTATTTTCTATGATCACAGTTTTATAAAGAATGTTTAACACATAAAAAATTACTTTATATTAATCCTGTTTTTCTTTTTGGCCAAGACTACTTTATTTTTCACTAAGACAAATACCATTATTAGAAAACTTTTTATATGCCTACATTAAAAAAACCTTAATATTCATTTAAGAGTTTCCTTTTCTTTTTATACAGTTATCTATCTATCTATCTATCTATCTATCTATCTATCTATCTATCTAAAAGCCTAAGTGACCGTTACAACCAAATGACTGGAATGACTGGAAGACCAGTCGACCAGTTGCTATGACGAACACTGACCACCAAGGGGCAGATGCTCAATGCAGGAGCTGCCCCCTAGTGGTCAGTGAACTCCCACAACCAACCTCCCGCAGCTGGCCAACCTCCCACTGAACCTCCCCTCAGCCGGCCAGCCCCCATTGGCCACTGGTGCTAAACCATTCATAGAGACCTGCTTCTGGGTCAGGTTTCGTACATAGCAGAGCAGCTCCCTCTCTGTGATCTATTGAAAGTCAGCCATTGACACAAGGGTTTGTCTCGCTCCCATCATCTCCCTTCTCCAGAGGCTGCCCGCCTGCCATAGGGGCAACAAGGCGATGAGGAAGGAAGGAGAGGGGGAGGTGGGGAACCATGCAATGGCAGGGTGATGTCAGCATCTGGTGTCTGTTCCTTCCACACTCTAGCCCAGCGTTTGTCACCTCCTCTCTGGACCCTGCCTGGGGCCTTCAGGCCGAGGCTGGGACAGGAAACTGGGGTGGGTGGCGGTGGATGTGGCCCCTTTCCCAGGGGTCTGAGGGCTGGCTCCCTCCTCGGAGCCACCGGCCAAGCTCTCACGGTTCCTCCACCCCACCCCCGAGCGCACAAATTCATGCACCGGGCCTCTAGTTGTTTAATAAAAATCCGGCTCCTCACCATCTGCACAAAATGTTATCTGAATGTTTGTTTACCTTAAAGATTAAACACATGTATAAGCATACACTTCAACCCAACAGGAAAAATCTGTGTCTACTTAATTGTATATAGCTTCAGCTAAATGGTATCTTTGTGGAAATACAACCATATTCCTATGGAAGCAATTTGGGGCAATTTTTTTTTAAGGTGTGGGGCTAAGAGAAACAAATAGTTTTTCTGTAAGGAAATTAAAATTGTCATTTTAATTCCACTCAACTCAGATGAGATCAAAGTCTTAAATTATGTTTATAAAGTATGAAAATCCAATTAAAATACATATCTATTCATGGGTCAAATTTTGTCTCCAAACTAAAAGTGATAACTGATTACTTCCTTTAACTCTTAAATAGATATTTTATAGAATAGGGAAGGAGGAGAGATATATCACCAAGGGAGTCTAGCAAGTAACAATGTTTAGACTTACTATGAGAGTTTTAAATTGCCTCCTTATACAATTAATTTTATTATTATAAAAGTAATGTAAATATTTACAAAATAATTGGAAATTAGTGAAGAGGGGGGAAATACTTAAAATTTCACTACCCTACACATTTACTAACAGCACTGGAATATATCCTTCTGGGTGTTTTTTTGTTTGTTTGTTTGTTTTTTCTCTCTCTCCACATTTAGCTTATTTTTTTCCTATGTAGTTAAAAGCATAACAATACACAAACACATATTTTAAATGCACTTTTTCAACTTCACATTATTTGAAATGCATTTTTCTATGCTGTCACCTCCTCTTCCTATTCCACACATGATCTTTTAAACAATGTATATTAGATAACACTAATAATGATAACAGCTGACATTTTTTGGGCAGGTACTGTGCTTGGTGTTTTATCTGCCTTATTGTATGCAATCTTCAAAATACCTGTGCAATAGATATTATTACTTAAATCTGGAGTCTTAAAGACTAGAAAATTTAGGCTTAACACAATTAAATAACTTGCTCATGTTAAACAATAAGTGAGAAGGTAGTACGTGAATTCGTCTGTTTTAAACCAAAATTTGTACTCTTAAATTAACTTCATTAACCTGTTCATTTAGTGAAGAAAAGATCATTGCTTCTCCATTGATGCATCAGTAACTATAGTGTTCTTTCTGCTAAATTTAGGCTACCCAAACACCTATAGGTTAGAAACAGCAAAAGAACTTAGCTACTAATGGAAAGATCGGCCTTCATTTGCTGAATTGTCAATATTCTTCATCCTTTCTAGTCTTAAATTTTTAATCTATTTTTATGCAATCTGTGAGTCTCTCCTTTGAGCAGACAAACCTTCAACTAACAAGAAATAGCCTACTAGTCTGTTATGCATCTACTCAAATGAAGGATGGTGCTTTCTTGTAATCCTAGCCTTCGGTGTGCTATGATGCTGTGATGTTCCTGAGGCCCATGGGGCTGAGGATTGAGCACTCAGTCCTCTCTCTTTTCTAACTCAGGAGGTCAGTTGTATGGAGGAGAAGCTTTGTCTGAGAAATGTCCTGCTGGTTGTTTTTACTCAAGTTGACCTAAATAAACATCTTAAAGGAAATAATATGTCACAAAGTAAAATGAGTAATTCTCAGAATAGGAAAAGTTACAATGCACAACACTTCACCTGATCCCTACATTTGTTTCCCATTGGCCATCTTATGATCTGATTTTTTCTACATATTATTCCTGGAGGATAAATGGGAAAGGAAAGGAAATACTTTGTCATTCCAGGAAAGTCTAAAGAGAAAAAAAACATAAGAAGCCAATTCTTCCTTTATTTCCCTTTCAATTGATTTCTCTAATTGGGCAAAGTAATGAATGGATTATTGTACTAAACTAAAATCTCATTTACAATTGTAAAGATTAAGACTATATTTATACTTTTTGTCCAGCAGATTACATAGGTATTAGGTGAAACAGCAAGCTACTGGCATAAACGAATTTTAAATCTGGGGTTAAAAGCGTAAGTGCCTAGAGGTTTCACCTAAGTGAATGAATCAAGTCATTCATGTGTACTGTCTGGGACTTGGCCATATGGAAGAGTGCAGGCCTGGCCTACAGGGATCTTCCTACTGCACCCTCCTCTATGGCTGCCCTGTGAGAATGATGGTCCAAAGATGGCAAATCTTCTCATTGTTAAAGAGATTCCAGAAGTCAGGATTTTTATATCAAATTCTTCACATTTTAAAATAGTGGATTAAACATCTAAGCATGTGTGTGCCAAAATACCTTATCAGTGGGTAGGCTTTGGCCTAATGGCCAGTATTTGGCTTCTGTTCAGGTCCATATCATATGAATGATAAAACACTGAATGTTTGACTTTGAAATCAGCATATCTGGTTATGAATCAGTTATTTCCTGTGAAATCAGATAACATCTTACATTACCTTACTAGCTGAAATGCATCGTGGATCAGGCTTGTTCTGTCCTTAGGTCTGAGGAGTGTGTGGTTCTGATTCAGCTGTTGAATGAGCTGGTCCCATCCCTGCCCCTCATAGTGAACAATATAGTAGCCATTTGAGTTCACATTGAATTTCACCCAGCTGGTATCTTCAGGTAAATCCAGAATATCTGAGAGGAGGAAATTGGCATAGGCATTTCATTATCAGCATACATGCCAGGAACATCTCCAAAACAAAAAAATGAGTTTCTACGCTATTATTAATAAATCAATAAGAAGACAAAGTTTTGGAAGAGTTACGATGATACTGATTTTCATAGTCTACTGGATGGTTTCTGCTGGAAATAATGGTCTTATCAAATGAATAAATAAATTAATTCATATGAAAAAGACTGCTAACTTTGTTCTCAAAAACAGTCTATGCAGGTCTAAGAGGCATACAAGGGTCCAATGAACCAGATGATGAGCATGACTGGAATTTGGCTTGATTTATTGGTGGCGATGTCTCCAGGTTTAGTTACTAGCCATTGAAATATGTGTATGTAAATAGTGGATCCACTAGTTCAGTCCTTATTTGGAGTGAAATAAGGACTCCAGGTTGAATATGATGTTCTGATGGGTACTCTCTCAAATTTCAGTGAAGTGTTTAAGGAAAAATTGAAATATTAAGTGTTTTTAATATGACAGACATTATACTTGGTGATAAAATAGCATTATCATATTATCTTAATCACTGTGAGGGCTAGCCCTCATTTAAACTAAGATGAAAAAATTGAAGTTCAGGAAGTGTTAAACATTTTTCTTAAGGCCACACATCTAATAGATGACAGAATGATGGTATGAATCCACAGACAATAAATTCCTAAGTGTATGCTTTTTTCTACTATACATGTTTGCCTCATGGTTTCACAGCTGGATTAGTAAGTATTAAAAGACAAGACAGGATGCCATCATTTCTTGATATAAATAAAACTTATTTCTGAATGCTAAAAGCACAAGAGAACCACCCATTAAATGAAAATTTTACTTCCTAGCTAAAATGTCCTTTCTGTAACTAGTATATGGATAAATAAGAAATTTCTCAAACTTAAACTTTTATTAGTAGTATCTTTCCTCCAAATAGTTCAGAACGTATTTAATTTCAGAATTGAAACACATGTTTGGCTAATCATTTCATTACCTGTCTTTGATTTTAAAATGTGTCTGTGAATCACATTAGAGGAACTCGTGGTGTAGGTCAATGGGATGTGCCAAAGGTACCTATGTTAGAAATAAAGACCGTTACAAATTAAATAAATGACTATTTCAATTTTCACATTGTCAGATTCAGATAAACTGAAAAGGCACTTAACCACCCATCTTTTACATTATCAGGAACCTTATAAATTTTATTGGCTAAGACTAGCAGACCCTTGGGCATGCAATAATTCTTCCAAGGTGAAGAATTGAAGGTGTAGCAACATATACCTAGTTGAATTCTGTCACAATTACCTGTGCCATTTGCTGTATAAATCTCATACTACAATAAGTTCTGTTCATTGTTTTCTATAAAGAAGAAAAAGAAATCCAATCTTCCTTTCATATTTCCAGAAACTCAGACAGCCTGATACTAATGCAAATATAGGGAAAAGCCTTAAGAAGTCTAGATCTTATTCCAGTATGACCTTCCACTTACCCTTTTGCTCAACAAAGCTAACCACATCCAACCGCCCATCTGCTAAGTGACTGTAAGTGGCCAACAGTTTAGGAACTGCAGGTCAGCAAGTCCAGAGAGCAGAAAAGAGGCATGGATAGAAGCCTCAGTTACTTTCCAATGGTCCTACTATGTTAAATAACAGAAACTGGCTATTTTTTACCTCACTGACTTTTTAGAAACTTCCAGAATTTACTTCTTTTACCACATTAAGCCATATTAACCATAGTAATCCAGCACATGTAAAACTATGAGTTTGAAAACACTAACAGGTATAGAATGGAAAGGAGAAAGTCCTTAAAATATATAAAATTAAAGGAAACAGTATAGACAGACTCCATGTAGGAAAGGGTCAGAAAGGAATTATCTACCTGCTAACCCACAAAGAGTAAGATAATTAACAAAGCAATTGAAATATTTACACAAAAAAGGTAAAAATGGACACATAGATATTGCCAAGACTTAATGGAATGATTCCTGGATGAAATCTTAGCTCTGGAAGAAAGGGATATTTCCAGATAAACATATCTGGGGATAAAAAGAGGGAGATTAGCATTTCACAAGTTTGAATAGGCATGAACGAGAGAATAATAATTTTAAAACAGTAATCTGAAAGCCACGACAGGAAGAGGAAAAGTACAGGTCATTGTAGATCTTTGTAATTCTGGACCATCCACACTATTGAACTCTCTTGTGACATTTTGATAAGTTAGAATATTGTGAGTCCTGCTTTCCCAATGATGAATCAAACATAAAAATTTCCAGGCTGTGTTGCCAAGTTATAAATCGTCCAAGCTCTTAGAAGTTCAGACTTCAGAAGAACATACAGAAAAACAGAAAACTGTGTCTCAGAGAAGTAGCATAAACGTTGCTGTTGGGTTGGGAATAGGTAACTGATGAAACAAAAGGAGAAAACATTCGCTTTCTATGTGCTATTCTACCTGGTATATGCTAAAGCCCTTGAATTTGCTTCTGATTCTCAGAAAAATTCTAGAATTGTTATTAGACAGCTAAATCTTTAGAAAAAAAATAACGATCACCAGAGGCAGCACAGATTCACTTGGATTGTTTCATTTTAAACTAACCTAATTCCTCTTGTTAATAGGCTAATGGATCAGAGAACTTTGTTGTGTTTTCTCAGGATAGGCTGGTGAACAAGACTGTGTGGTTAATTGGATTTGCTTTGGTTATTACCAAGGACAGCATATATTTTAAGACATTACATTTATAGTCTATTAGTGAAAATAAAAAGGCAACAGGAGGTCTTAGCATTTAATTTATCACATGGGGAATATCTTTTCTCTTGTGATGATTTGTATAGCTGTAATAACACTTCCTAGGTATAGGCCAGTCACGCAACTTATTAAGGCCCAGAAATCTAGTGTTGAAAAGAGTCAGGAGATACTATAATGGAAATATAATCGACCACCTCTGCATCAGAACTGAGTTTCTAAAGGTGGCTGCAGAAGTACTTGGAACGCAACTGTGAACAACACCGTCTGGGCCACCTGCAGCTCTTTAAATGTGATCAAGGCTAGTTTAGGCCTTCATTCCTGTGCGAGACAGCATCCCGCGGCCTCCAGAGAAGCTGAAAGAAAATTAATGCCACAACAAGCAAACGGAGATGAGGTCCCTTAGACCGACAGGAGACAAGCAGCCACCTTTCCTGCAGGGCCCTCCAGCCAGGGTCCTCTTTGAACACCCCGCTCAGGAAGCGCTCCTGTCGCAGTTTGAGCGTACGTCCTTCTCGTTCAACCACCACGAGGGGGATTCCTTTCTGCAGAGTCCACGTAGCCATCATCTCTTTGACCTCCACATCTTCCCCCTGAAAGGTGAGCTGAAAGGACAAGTGACTGTGGTTAAGTCGACACCGAGGAGAGAAAACCAAGAGAGATGAGAAACTTAGGGCCCCTGGGATGCCAGAAACAAGGCTGGGGGAGGAGGGCGGACTGGGACTCAGGCTGCCTCTGGGAGGAGCAATGCCGGGACTGGACAGGGCTGCTCTCTGCAAGGTACTGGAGGGAGGGATGTGAGTGGGAGCTTGAGGTTAACACACACAGGGCAGGGAAAGCCAAGAGGAAGGGTTTAAGATGGAGCCTTCCTCCTGCTCCCTTTCAAAACAACCAGAAAGAAACACCTCTCCCTTTTGGTCATGGTGGAGCCCAGGCGGGTGGCCTAGGAGAGAAAGGGCTTCCTTTAAGGGAAGCTTTAAATGTTCCAACAGAACCATGTATCAACCAAAGTATATTAAATGGAAAAGAAAACCTCTAGCTTCTAGCATGGTTTTCTGAAAATTGGATGATCCAGAACCTTCCTTTAGAATCCATCATTTATGGATTATCATGACTCCGTTAAAAAAGAGTTTGCTTTTTTGTTGTTGTTTATGATGACTTTTTCTCTCTCTCTCTCTCCTAAAGTGCTCCAGTAACTTCCCAGGAGTAAACAAAAAGACAAGCCCTCAAGAAAGCCAAAAGCCATTTGCTCTATTTCCGAACCTAACATACCCTGTTTGGCAGTTTTCAGAGCCTAGAGGATGCCAGCGCCTCGGTAAGCACTCAGCGGCATTTAAAGCTGAGATATTCTTAGCTAGCCGTGGGCCTGTGGGAAAGCTGAATTATAACAACAAAACTGTGGCAGTAACAGCATCATCCCCCTAAATGGCCTGAACGTTCCTCCTTAAGTCTGCTTTGTTTCAAGGAAAATCCTGGAGGCTCTCTTCCTCTCCAGTTACTTAAAGGGACAGTTGGGCTATTCTACACACTCACTCCCGGCAGGTGACGGGCCAGCTCTCGTCTGCTCTGTAGATCTCTTTATACTTACTATGCTGTGTGTCCTCTTGGAATCAGAATAACAAACTCCACCAGATGTAAAATCACCTTCTAAACAACCCTATAGAACAAGAATAAAGAGCACTACCATTCGGGCACTGCCAGTTGACTGAATATGCATATTAGACATGAATGCAGACATTTACTAGCATAGCTATATGAAAATTAATTCATCTAGACCAGTGGTTCTCAACCTTGGCTGCACATTAGAATCACCTGGGAATCTTTTAAAAATCCTCATCCGATGAGGCCCAGAAATCAGGATTTTAAAAAGATTCCCTGGTGATTCTAATGTGCAGTCAGGTTGAGAACCACTGATCTGGACATTTGATAATGAACATAGCAACTCATGAAATGAATACAGTGGGGCCTTGACTTACAAGTGTCCCAACTAACGAGTTTTTTGAGATACCAGCTGTCTCTCGGCCGATTTTTTACATTGAGTTGACAGAGAATAATTTGAGTTAATGAGCTCCTTAACGAGCTCGGTCTTAGAACGAATTAAATTCGTAAGTCAAGACCCCACTGTAAAGAGCATCTTCGAAGTGACCATAGGAAATACACAAAGTTAGTTCAGTTGCTATATTCCTTATCATGTCCAGATGAATTAAATTTTCATCTATATACTTAAAATTTGCTAATGAAGTTCACCATGGTGAGATAACTGTTTTAGGGTTGAATCAATTTGTTGAATTTTTCTTTCATTTGTTTCCTTTCCCCTGGGAAGAGTCCTAGT